AGAAAATAATTTTCCAAAGAAAGAAAAAACAAAGAAATATACTAGAAGAGATTTCGCCCGAGAAGAGAGCCAGTGGTCAGGGCCCACTTGAGGGGAGTGCCTGTGAGGCCCATGCGACTAGCACCTGGGCTGTGCAAACAGGCGCGAGGGGCCTACAAGGCACCTCTAGCTGCCTCTCGACACCCATGATCCCATATTACCACAGAAACCCTTAGTTTATTTTACGTGTTTTTCGCCGCCATCTACAAGGCAGAAACTGAGCGGAGCACTCTCTTGCTCCTAGAGGGTTGTTTCTCCAGCATCATTCCCCTCTATGTAGGGGAAATTGAATCAATCGACATCACCAACACTTCGTTCATTGTGGCGATCATCATCAAAATCGTCATCATTACCAGCATACTCTTCATCATCATCCATCTCCAACCTTAGACTTCAATATGTGAACTATTCTCTCAGATTAGTTGTTGTGATCACTTCCTGGTGTTAATATTTGCTTAATAGTTGATGCTTCATGATTTGTCGATAGAATATTTGTATGTTCAAATTATTTATCATATCATTACTCCATTGATCATAATCTATTCGATATCTCTTGAGTAGTCCGTTACTCTCTTGAGGACTTGAGTGAAACCTTGTAACTAGTAAACATGTGAAAATAGTAAGGTGTAATGTTTTGAAATTATGTTGTGATGTAATTCTCTAGTGGTGATATGAGAAAATCTTATGAATATCAATTCACCTTTTTGGGCCTAGAGGAGAACATTATGTGATAACTTTTCTTAGCATGGATGGCTGGAGTGGCAGATATTATCATGTCATGAGTTTGCAATTTATTGGATAAGGAGTAACTAGGGACCCCAAAAAATTAATATTATGGTTAGATGTTATCTTAATTATTCTCTTTTATTTGTGGATGCTTGCATGGAGGGTATAATCATAAGTATGCATTTTTTTCAAGTAAAAACATTACATAAGTTAGGCTCCACTCTACAACACTTATCAAAGTAATGAAAGTTAATATCAACGGAAGTAGATGAAATTCCCGCCGCCCTCAAGAACGATTTGATCCATACACTCCCTCCATACATGTGCATTGGGCATCTTAGGTTGTGCACTACGACCAAGACAGAGGGGAAACAAGGGAACTTAATTTTTATTGCATGCCGTGTTATGCAGTCTCAAGTCATTGAAGGCATACACGCCGCACGTCCACTATTGGTTGATTCCTTTTTTCATGGCAAAAATAAGGAACGAGGTGGGGAGTTAATGCATCGTGCCTAAGCATTTTGAAATTATTTGTTTTTTGTAATATGCGTAATGCACTGGTATTGAGGAGTAAGTAATATCATTGGCTTAGCACAATTAAGGATTAAGCTACTTGCTTCATCATTACACTTTTTTTATTTAAATTTACATTCTTGTAATTATGCTCATGATGAAACATACATACAAATATTCTTTGCAACTTTCGTAGTGATTTCTTGTTATTTTCATCAACCAATTCCTTCTGCCCCTCGTTGGGTTCGACACTCTACTTATCAAAATGATCTACAACAGATGCCCTACACTTGTGGGCTATCACTGCCACAGACGAGGATGGTAGAGAATAAGGATGGTGGAGCAATGCGAGAGGGTACTGAATTGGAATTTATATGGTGCCAGTGACCTTCCTTCCTCAATCACGGCCACGATGTGCCACGACGACCTTTGATGTTTGGAATCTTTTGTGCCAACTGACTCTTGTCATGACTTGTCTGCCCTGCTTGTGCTAGTACGGTCTTGTCTGACGTCTCATGTCAATACCATGCTATACATGTAGCTATTGGGATCGCCGAAAGTGGTGGCCACAACATATGATGACTTTGATTTAGTGGTGCTTCTCTGGTACCAGTCTCAAAGTTCAGGGTGACAATGCAAGGTCTGACCCTCTCAATTGGTTATACCTAACAATGAAAATATTTTTTGGGGCGTTGCCTTGTAGAAGGCATTGCTCGGACTTGATCTTTAGGGTGAAAATTCATGATATTTCCTTGGTTTTATCTGCCGATATTAGCGCTTGATTGGCATTCGCTTCCTGAAGGTATTGCTCTTGGAGAACCTTTCTCGTTGTATTTATTATGTAAAGGGATGGTTGATACGGATATGGTCATCGTTGTAGCCTTGTTGATCATTTGTTTAATCGCTTGGCAATTTTTTTGTTTTCTTTTTACCTCACCGATGCATAGCTTCGGCCTTGTATGACATTGCTATATGTTGGTGTGATTCTTTGTGTACGTGTGTTGGTATTAGCTATGTGCATCCTACCTATGCAGGTATCTACTCTTTATAAAAAAATATTGGATGAGCTCTTAGGGCTGCTTTCATCTGCATGGTTCCAAAAACGTAAGAATAGAAAAAACACCAAAAATACGATACGAATGTCTAGGCAAAACCCATGGTCGGAAATACTGGAATTTTGCAAGCTTTGATGTTTGGTTCACTTGAATACGAAACACATGAATACTAATAAATATGGTCAAATCAAAAGTCAAGCTACACGAAAAAGTATAATTAAAATATCACTACGTCAATAACGACCCTACTCTTGTTCTTCATGTGTAGGAATTTGAAAAGGAGGTCCATGCAAATTGTAAAATTCCTGGGTTTTTTATTTGAAGTCAAGATCAAAGCAAAATTTCTTTCATTTTTTCTTTGCTACAAATTTCTCATCAAAGCGGTGGTTCCCCATGCTATCGGTGTTGGACCTAGGAGGTGGTGTCTATGCCGTCTCTTGTCCTTCGAATCTAGAGGGGCACTCCATGTGTCTTCGTGCTGATGTTTAGGTAATGATCTTCTTCTTCGGGCTCTTTACAACGCTGGTGTTTGCGAGAGACTAGTGATTTGGACAGTGAAAGGCCGACCTTTGGGGATGGAGGTGATGTTCCCTTGATCGTTTCTATGGCAGTGATGATGATGTGGCCTCCTCTCCCCTTGGATGTCCCCCTGATGTGATATATTGCTTTTTGGTGGTTTGTGCTCCCTATTCATTGTTGCAGCGCTCTCTCCACCATTGTTGCGAAGTTGCTGGAAGGTTTATTTAGGAAATGGTACAACTCTAGAATTTCCCATATGCAGAAGGCTTCTACGATAACGAGTTTTTATTTGTGGCGTTGGCAACTAGACCTTAGCGCAAAGACTCGTCGATTGTAGGATACAATGTCAGGCCGACTTCAGCGATGGAGCGGCCGTGATGGTGCGCCTTTGGCTCATACTGGAGATTAAGTTTGTTTCGCTATGTAAGAACCTGGTTGTAATTTCCTTGGTTTTTGAGATGTCCTGCATTGTTAGAAGTTTTTAATATAAATGCAGGGTTTTATTCGCAAACAAAAATCATCTATTGTTTCTTTGTTCTATTCCTTTGAACTAAACGCGTGAATAGTGCCACCATAAGAAGAAGGTAAATGTTGTATGTCGGGCGACCGGTCAAAGCTTGGGCGGTCACCTCTATCGGACGCTCTCTTGGACATGGGGCACATCATTTATAGGCCCTTCCCACTAGTTCCCCATGCTTATCTCCAGGGAAAGGCCCCCGACACACAACAACTCTTGTCCCCAAGTCGCAATCCATTTTCTCATCGGGCAGATACTCCAGAGCCACGCGGATCCTTGTCGTCGATGGCCACACACCACCTCCGTGCACTGTCTCACACCTCCTTCATGCCCTTCCCCCTCTCCTTCCTTCTCCTATCTCAGACGATCGCCCACTCACGCCCTTCCTCTCCACATCAGAGCCTCAACCGTCAGGGCTGGAGACAATGAGACATCCAACGCGACATGATGCAACGGGGAGAGAGGCAGGTGATGGAGCCGTCGACGCCGAGTGATGTGACCAGCACCCTGTCTTGCTAGAACAACAGTGGCAGGGTGCTACGACGGCAAGGCAGCGCACGCCGCAACTAGGGACGCGACGGCGGGGGTGCTATGACGCTTACGATTGGTGTGGATCGCGTGTTGCAACCGCGTCGGACGGGTGCTATGACAGTGTGTCCTGCATGCTGGAACCACGGCGCTGGAGTGCTACGATGACGACGGCCGGGGGGGTGCACCACGTGCTGAATCCTCGGCGACCTGGGGTGCTATGGCGGAGGTCCTTGTATGCTGGAACCGTGGCGACGGGATGTTGCAACTATGACGACAACGAGTCAGAACCTAAGCCATAAGATGCTGCAATGGTGACCGCAATGGGCTAGAACTGGCGACCACTCGAGCTGGATGTGTCATGGGATGCTGCAATGGCGACCCTGGAGAGGTGGAACCATCGCTCGGGATGCTGCAATGGCGATGACGACGAGTTGGAATTGTGCTATGGGATGCTACAACGGCCACCCCGGAGAGCTGGAACTATCGCTTGAGATGCTGCAATGGCGACAACGGCCAACTGGAACCGTGTCTGTGGGATGCTACAATGGCGACTGAACCGACAATGACTTATTTTCTTTGAGACGCAGCGAGCCGAGGTCAGTTGCAAGCCCGCGGGTCCACGACGGCGGTTGGCCGTGCTTGTTGTCGCCTTCCCGTGCACGTTGATGCAATTTTGGGGGAAAACGAAATGGGTGCGTGGAGATAAAGCGGGGAGGTAGATGTGACGGCTGGGAGAAGTCACATCGTGCGGTCGGGATGCAACCAGCTGAGGCTGGCGCCGGTCGACCGGTGTCGAGCAATGGCCAAAGAAGAAATACAATTCAATTTTTTTTTCATTTCACTATTCCTTACTAAAGGAGCCGTGGAGCAAAGAATGATCCTATTCGAGTTTTTTTTAGTGGATTTCATTTTACTTTTTCGTTGAACAAAAAGGAGCCGTGAACCTAAAGCAGGCCGAATAAAGAAAACCAGGGGACGGACACGGCCCAAATCGTCGGAAGAGCAGGGACAGAGCCCACATCGGAAGACAAGGGCGGAGTGTCCCAAAACGCAGACCCTTTTCCCATCTTCCTACTGGAGGCTGCCGCTCCATTCCAAGCATGGCTGCGGCTATGCGCCGTCTGATTCCTTCACGCCTCGCCGCATTGAGCAGAGCCACCGCGGGGCGTCTGCGAAGGAAGGCTTCCCTAGGCGGCGGAGTCCTGCGGCTTGGACCTGTGGGGAAAGCGGATCCATGGAGGAGCATTTCCACTACGCCAGATTGGAACAGGTACAAGGGGCCGCCAAAGCCGAGCTTCTCATGGAAACTGCAAGATCTGCTCAACGATGATTTCTTCAAGAACGAGGCGAGTCTTTCCCTTCCTTTGTTTCTTGCTTCCATTAATCATATATTGACGCTCTGTACCACTCCCAAAGTTGTACTAAGATTGAGACATTTATTTTGAGACGGAGGGAGTACTTGGCAAGGCTAAGTATAGCTTGCTTCTTCTGGATGAAGTATATGCGTAATGTTAGATCAGCTGTAGAGCAAGCTTTCGAAATTAATTTAGGGCTCATATGAGATTGGGGGCTGTGTCAATCTAAGTTATGCAGAGGGATGTACACATTGTGTTTCTAATGCTTCGTTTTGAGTTAATAAAACACACCCTTTATCGAAAAAAATATGGGATTGGGGGGCGGGGGGGTATTTTCGAAATTCATCATAGATGCGATCACATTCAGGGCACGGGCATCGATCTAGCTGTGCCTGCGCTGCCGTTATTGCACATGGCTATATGGGTGGCACCGTACTAATAGGATTTGTGTTGCATGAGGCTTCATATATTGGTGTTCTTTCTCATTGGTTGTTCTGTCTGGCCTTTTTTTATATTTCCTAAACTTGTGCTGGACCGTGTAAACGTTGCAACAATTGTTTGACGTCTGTGTGCATCGATTGATGCGGGAAACTATCAGGTGCTCCCATCGTGGGGAATCCCGGTGCTCCAAATTAAAAAAGAAACGTTCTTAAATGTTTCAAAAAAATATGAATGTTCACAAGGAATGTGACTACAACCCCTAAAAATTTCAGGTCCAAACTCTAAATGCACATTGAGAAACAAAAAAGTGAAATCCAGATGTGAATAGTGTCATCTGTTGCTTTTGTCTTTCTTACACTATTCATGCTAGAATTCACATTTTTGTTTCTCAATGTGTGTTTCGAGTTTGGACCTGAAATTTTATGGGTTGTAGTCACATTCCTTGTGAGCATTCACTTTTTTTTGGATTTTTTGGAAACATTTAAGAATGTTTTTTTTTCTAATTTGGAGCACCGGGAGCACCCCAAGTGGGAGCACCCGATACTTTCCCCGTTCAATGCAGAGGACTGGGTCTCAACCCTCTTTTCGAAAGGAAAATAAAAGTGCTCCTACAAAGATCTGACAAGTTGCTGCTAACCTCTATATATGTACGTGCTTCATTTCATTCAGGTGAAGGTGATACCAACAACTTTCACTTCGGTAGAGGGGTACATGGGCTCATTCATGGCTCCACTATTGGAAGAAGCTCGGGCGGATCTCTGCTCCGCATTGCACGGCATCCGGCACGCGCCGGTGGCCCAAGTGATCTGGATCCAACAGGAACGCACTTCAGAATTCTGTATCTCGTTCAAGGAACCTCGGCCAGCTGGTAGTTACGCCCCGAAAGTCGAGGATATATTGGTGCTCACAAGTCGGAAACCGACCCGCCACATAGATTTGGACCCATTTGTCATAGCTGTAGTGCCTCCATCCGAAGATAGTAAAAGTGAAAGCAAGGATGACGAAGGCACCACCACCGGCTATTCTGAAGATATGGACAATACTGTCACCTCTTCACAAGACAGTGCCGTGCCATTTCTTCTCAAGAAAAATGCCACAGCAGTTGATGTAGAGGCATGGGCTCACCCCCTTTTCGAAAAAGAAAAGGAAAATGCACCAACACCTCCCCCCCAAGTGGTAGACACTGGCACAACAATATTAATAAGGCTGCTGTCGGGTAAACTACCTGTCAAACGACAAGGTCAAAAAGAAGTGATCGCATTGCCTCTTTTTGCGGTCTTTCTTATCAATATGAAGACCAACAATCATATACATGATGCACTGGAACTGAAAGCCGGCATCCTTAGCCGTTGGGGCAGTAGCCTCGTAGAGAGGATTGCAGAGTATGCTCCAACTGTATGTATCTATTTAGTACTATCGCATGGTTTGCGTCTTTCTACTCGATCAATATGTTGTGATGGTTCCTATTTTCTGATGGCAGGCCGGCCAGGATCGCAATTCATTGTTGCCAGAGGTACCTTCAGGGTTAGCGTCAGATAAGGCGCTGGATGGCCTTGAAAAATTCAAGCTCAACACCTCACAGCAGAAGGCGGTACTTGATTGTGTTTCAGCAATGGATCAAGCTAGGTGCTGGGTGCGTCTTATTTGGGGACCACCTGGGACAGGGAAAACCAAGGCCATCATATCTCTCTTGTGGTCAATGCTGATGAAAAACCGCAGGACACTAGCTTGCGCTCCGACCAACACGGCGGTTGTGGAGGTTGCCTCCCGTGTCCTCGGTCTTCTCAAGGATGAGTCATATGGCGGCGGTGGCAAACACTTCTCGCTGGGCAATGTCGTGTTGTTTGGCAACGAAGATCGGATGAACGTGGATGAAAAGCTCGCAAACATCTTCTTGGATCGGCGTGTGTACCGACTTGTGAATGTGGCGGCACGCTGGAGGCACTATGTGAACCGCATGCTAGAACTTCTTGCCAAGCCATTGGCCATGCACTCTTCGTATCTTAAGGATGTTCGACCGGAGCGTACGGGTGATATTTTGCGGCTGCAAGGGGTGGGGGATGCTGAACTAGAGAGGAGGAGGAAGTTGACATTCAAGGAATTCTTCATAGAAAATTACGAATGTCACGAGGAAGCACTGCGCCGCTGCTTCGAGACTATCCGCAATGATCTGCCCTTACCCGCTAGGAGATTTGATTACCTGGATGAGACCCTGCGCTCGCTCGAAGCTTTCGGGAAACTTCTCCGGTCCGAGCCGGAGCGCCCGCTGGGGAAACTCTTCCTCAAAAACGGGGGGTGGCCAGAGTTCCAAGAAGCAAGAGCATTGTGTCTTAACAAGCTAAAACACTTGCCCGATTGGTTTGATTTGCTTCCAAGCGATTCAAGCAAAATCGAAGACTACATACTGAACAACGCCACGATCATACTTTGCACTGCTGCTAGCTCATTCAATCTGCGCCGCGTCCGTGATTTCCAGCGGTTTGAGCTCCTTGTTATCGACGAGGCGGCGCAGCTCAAGGAGTGCGAGTCACTGATACCTCTACAGCTTGGTATCCACCGTGCTGTTCTTATCGGTGATGAATGCCAGCTACCAGCGCTTGTCAAAAGCAAGGTAATGTTATCCTTTTTCTTCTAGCCTATCGGTCGGTCAGCCTGGTGTATCAGATCAAGCAATGCTCACACTCACAATTGGCTGCTGCAGCTCAGCGTTGAGGCCGGCTTTGGAAGAAGTCTGTTTGAGAGGCTTTGCTTGCTAGGACACCCGAAGCACCTCCTCGATGTGCAGTACAGGATGCACCCGGAAATAAGCAAGTTCCCCATCTCGAGTTTTTACTGTAGGAAGGTAACAGATGGCCCCAACGTCCTTCACAGAGACTACGAGAGGAAGCTCCTGGATGGCCCAATGTATGGCACCTACTCCTTCATCAACATCCAAGGTGGGATCGAAAGCTCGGGCATGCATGGCACAAGCCTAAGCAATGCTGCTGAGGTCGCTGCGGTGACCCGGATTGTGCAGAGATTGTCCCAAGGTTTGCTGCAGCTACCTATATATTCAGCAGCTGTAGATTCATCAAACATATTTCCTTTCCTTCGCTTCCTATCATCAGTTGACTAGTTTGGGTTTGTGTGTACTGAGTCAGTTGACACAAAAAGCAAGCTCAGCGTGGGCGTGGTATCACCGTACAAGGCCCAAGTCCGCGCCATCCAGGAGAGCCTTGCTTTGGAGCACGACAAGTACGGCGGTTTATCCGTAAAGATCCGAACCGTGGACGGGTTCCAGGGTGCCGAGGAGGATGTCGTCATCTTCTCCGCTGTGCGGGCCAATACCCATGGATCGGTCGGGTTCCTCTCCGATCAGAGGCGTACCAATGTGGCGCAAACACGAGCCAAGTGAGTGAACAATTTGTCGCCTGGTTGGTTGAGAGGACTTCTTCAGGTCATAGTAAAATTGGGGTCTTATGTGATCTTGCTACTTCAGTTCTGCGCACTTCTGTTGCTGTGTTCTTTTGCAGGCATTGCTTCTGGATTCTTGGCGACGCTGCTACGTTGTCGAGCAGCAGGACAATCTGGCAGAAGATAGTGGCCGATGCAAAGGAAAGAGGATGCTTCTATGATGGCAACGACGACAACGACCTCTTGGCTGTGGTGAGCGTCGCAATCAAGCAAGATGAAGTCACCCGTCTGCTCAAGATGGTGGATGCTCGTCTTGGTATATGCAGCTCGTGATCTTGGGTATGATCGAGTAAATCAATCCTTGGCACTGCTTTTTAGTTTGAGAACTAACTTAATTGTCGAAAGAAGCATCTGACAGTAGGTGTTGCAACTACTGTTTCTTCCCTTCAGAAATCCAAGACGGACTAAATATGAAATTCTGAACGGGCAGGCATAGCGATGTGCGCTGACCGCCGATGCAGTTACTAATCACTTTGAACGGCAGTCTTGTACTCGCCGGAAGCCAACCGAAGGAACTTACAGCCATGTGCGCAGATAACATATTAACTCTTGGTTGACACTTTGCTTGTTTGAGTTTGAGCCTGTAGGTTTCTATTTTGGTGAATGTAAGATGTTCCTAGGGGAATTTGGAGTCTGTGCGCAGCGGTAATATTTCGCCTGGGTTGGTTACTCCTGTGTGAGGTGGAAATGGTATCACCTGGTAGCTGTTTTGTTTTTGTTCTTGATCTTTTGTTGTGTGGCTGTCAGCGAGTGTGCTGCGGTCAGAGGCCTGGCGTAAGAGGGTGCCCAGAGTATATAGTGGTGATATATCGAGGAGCTGGGCTCCTTTCCTAAAAAAAAAATTTAGTGCTAATTCCTGTGCACTACAGTGGTGATACGAAAGCCTTGGGGTGGCCAGAAGGAACTACTACATTACTCGTCTGAGTTCCCTCTTGGTTGCCATGCAAGTGTTACCGTGCATCTAGATGAAGTTTATTTCGAATGCCATTCACATGTCTGGATAGCCTCAGCCTGGTAGTTGCTCAAAGCTGAACATTTCATTGCTATTCATCGTACTTGGTACATACTTTACATTCATGGCATGAAATTGACACTTGATGGAGCTATAAGAGATCTGATAGTTTTTTTTAAAGCTGCTAGTCTATCTCTTTTCTCTTGTGTTTGTATATGCTTGTGTTGCGTTGCAGTGTCTATAGTTGTGTTGCTTTTATCAAGGGACGTCCGGCTTGGATAGCCCTATGTTCTTCCTTCTCATCCATTATAATGTTAAAATAAAGTATATATCGGGGAAGCCTCCGCAAAGGTCTGGTTTGTTAAAAGGCAAATTATATCATATTATGAATAAAACAATATATAGTTTGAATAAATGTCTAAAAAGGTTTGCTTAAGACTTCATTATTTTAAAATATGTGACCTCAATCATGGCTTTAGATTATAAATCTTGAAGTGAGAAGAGAAGATCCAATTTTTCCCCACCAAGCGAACTATCAACAACCTGAAAATGTTTGATTACTATAATTAGGACCATGTTAGTAATGTTTTCATTAAAAAAACAAGTTATATATCTGTTATATTAGGGAAAATCCATGTGTCTTACTGTGCTAGTGCCTCTCAATGGGATTTTCCAAGAGAACTTGCATGAATGCAGAAATCTCATGCTTCATGCTGACAGCCTGACTGTATGAAATGCTAAATTTAAATTGTTAATAGTTTATCTCACAAACTGCTAATCTAATTAGCGATCATCTTCACCAGTGAGGTCGTCTCGACAAATTCTTGAAAACTAGATTCCATGTTGCTATATTTTGACAAAAATTGACCTGCCAAGATTCAAAGAACTTGTCGCAAGGAAGCCAGTGGTAAGGGCAGATCATCGATCTGGTTTTCGTTCGAGAGATGAACATTTTTTAATTTTGTGGAAATCATTGATGATTTCGTGCTATTTAGATATACTAGCAAACATGCTCGTGTGTTGTAACGGGAGAAAAACAATCAGATTATGCAGATGGTTGTAGAGATTAAAAAAAAGGTATGATCAAAATGCCAAGATGAGATAAGGATTTTCAAATTTTCTTTTCACAAACTATGTCTGAGTGATGTCATGATGAGAAGGAACTTTTAAAATGTCATTTCAAAAACTGAAAATGTGATGGTCCCATCACAATTTGATTTCCTAAGGCACCACAACGAAAGATTTTTTGGCTGAGCAAACTACATTGATGGACCACTGGCTGAGCTAGTCTGATGCATGATGTGTCCCACCTTGACCTAGCATAGCAGTTTTTTCCATAACCAGTAAAACTGTGGTACGAGAATAGCCGTGGATGGAGGCAAAAATAGATATTTAGTCATTTTTATACTCCATCCCAAAATAAGTGTCTCAACTTTATACTAACTCTAGTACAAAGTTGTACTAAGGTTGATGCATTTATTTTGGGACGGAGGGAGTTGCTTACAAAAACTAACCTTTACGAAGCTGTACAGAATATGGAAACCCATTTTTACCCGATGCGCGAGAGACTAAATAAAATCATAAAACAACCTCTACAGTTCTCCAAATAAAACCTCTACCTAAGCGATGGTTCATTTTGTTCGTTATTTACGAATCTATTTTAATTTTATGAATATTTTCTAAAATTTCATGGACATGGTTTTCAAATTCCCTAATATTTTTTGAATACAAAATCATATTTTAAAAATATGAATTTTATTTGAAATCATGAACATTTTATGATTTCCCGAATGCTTTTTGAATTCCCAAACATTTCATGATTTCTCGATATATATTTTCAGTAGTCGCAACCTTTTGAAATTTGTTTTTTTAATCCCGGATTTAAAGAAGGAAAAACAGAAACAAAAATGAGAATTATGAATAATTAGAAGAAATACACATTACATTGTGGTATTTTATCAGAAAACAAATACACCTTATATAAAAGAATGAAGGGAGTATTAAGCAAATCATATGATTTGTCACGTATGTCAAGCAAATTAAAGCACATTTTCTAATATTCCACAGCCTTCTAGCTAGGGAACACTTCATGAAAAGAATGATCAATAGATATTCATCCAAACCACAAAAGGGACAAGGCCTGGTACCAAGTCAGCCCCTCCTAACTAAATTTTCTTTTGTTAAGATATTATTTCTAAGAACTAACCACTTAAAGATCTTAATTCTCAGAGAAATTTTTGTTTTCCACATAAAGCTATGTGGAAAATTGATACCATTTTCAATCAGATTCTTGTAATATGTTTTAACAGAGTAAACATCATCTTTTGTCAAGTCCATTTAATAATATCTTTTAGATCAGTGAGAGTAATGTCTGCACATACATTGATACATACCATGGATACATATAAAATATAAGACCAATAGGCCTCTTGCTTTAACCATCTCCACTAGATTTAGGAGCACAAATACCTTACACTTCTCTTACAAAATACAATACCCGTTACCTTAGAAATGTGAAAAATTATTCAACCTTATTCCTTGACGTGTCTCCCCTTCAATCACATCACACACAAATGATGCATGTAATTAGATTGGTATAAATAGGAGTATCGTAGATAGATTCACCGTCCGTCAGTCAGGCGTCGGACAAATCCACAAGGAGAGGTGTGTCGGTGTCCCCTTTCTCCACGGTGAAGGTCTTGAGCATATGCTTCCCCGTCGCCGTCGTGACCTCCACGATGTACCTCCCGTAGAAGCCCCTGAACTTGAAGTTGCCGTCGCCGTCGACGTTCCCGCGCGCGTCCGTCTTCCACTCCCTCTGCAGGTTGAGGAACATCTGGCCGGCCTCGTTGACGGTGCCGTCGGCGTCGACGAGCCAGGAGTTCTCGCGCCACATGGTGCCCTGCAAGAACCCCCAGAAGACGATGCCCTCCACGGCCGGGTGCGCGTAGGCCTCCCGGAGCACCACCTCCAGGTCCTTGGCGCGGAGGCTGACGTTGTACTCGGGCACGTCCAGCTCGGTGAACCAGATGGGCACGCCGGTCTTGGCGAGCCTGTCGATCGCGGCGCAGATGACCTCCCCGACGGGGTTCTGCACGTGGCCCTGCAGCCCGATGCCGCCCACGACGGCGCCGCAGCGCTGCAGCCACGCGACCTGCTCGGCGTACTTCTCCGGCGTGGCGTTGGGGTCGTTGGCGCGCTCGACGTTGTAGTCGTTGACGAAGAGCGCGGGCTCCGGGTCCAGGCGCGCGACCTCCTTGAACATGTACGCCGGGATGTCCTCGTCGCCGAGGCGGTCGCGGAAGAAGCGGCCGTGCAGCATCTCGTTGTTGACGTCGTAGTGCCTGAACCTGCCGGCGTAGCGGGAGACGAGGCCCTCGAGGCGGCTCTGCATGGCGGACCTGAGCTGGTCCTTGTTGAGGTTCTTGACCCACTGCTGCACGTCGCCGTCCACGGACCAGAAGACGCAGTGGCCGCGGACGTGCTTGCCCAGGCGGTCGCAGAAGGCGAGCAGCGCGTCGGCGTCGGCGTAGTTGAGCTGCCCTTGTTGGGCCTCGGTGTGGTACCACTTGAGCTCGTTCTCGAAGACGGCCCAGTCGAAGTGGTTGGTGAAGAAGTCGAGGAAGGCCGGCTTCTGGATGACGGACGTGTTGATGCATGTCCCGAAGGGGAAGGCGTTGTCCAGCTGCACCACGCGCACGGACGCCGCCGCGCCCGCTCCAAGCTTGAGAATGACGTCCCTCTTGCGTGCCTGCGTCAATGGAGATCGTATGATCACCTTAGGTGACACATCAAATATGCATGCACGTCCATGAAAAATAAATATATGCATGCATGCTCACCTTGTCAGTCTTGTCCTTGAGCTGCCTGAAGCGCGCCTTGTGATCCACAGGGAAGACGCGGACATCCATGACCTTGACGTCGACGCCGGCGGGGGCGCCGTGGACGTAAACAGCGGCGCTGCGCGGCTCCGTCCTGAGGCGGAAGGC